AGCTTAGAGTTTGGATTGGAAAGAGACTAAAAGGCAGTCATTGTCTACGACTAACATTCCAAGTTTCTTCCAAATGGCAGTGGATGAGCTCTTACTCCCAACCTTAACAGCGTTAGCAGGAGTCATGAAATCAGTTGTGGAATCAGCCAATTCTGGAGCCACGTGACGAGGGGCCACAATGCAACATTTAGTGGGAACAGTGACCATTTCATCCCTGCTGAACAAGGATTGGGTGGAACATAAGACAATAATTGAACCACTGACACGCCTCAAGATCAGCCGGGATATCTTATCAGTAAAGACTGAAGTTTAAGTCAGAGATTATATCAACTCCAACTCGTTACATACTTGGCCATATCGTTTGCGTCAGCAGAGTCCTCGCTAAGTGGGTGTTTTGTAAAGATGGCAGTGAACTCAAGCACCACAGGGTCAGTCCAGTGACATTACCAGAGACAAGAAGCCTGTGAAACGGCCTGTTTCCAGTTTCCACAAAGCTCAGTATCGTATCTGTCGTGACACTGCCAAGTCAATATGCAGCTTCCTGACTAACAGAATGCATTTGATATGAACTGTCCAAGTTGAAGTGAAGTGTTTATCAGAAAAGTCTTATAAACGAGGGGTAAAACAGACCAGAACGGACCAGTCTGGACTTTCGAATGTGTCTGAGAACAACTCCTTCTCTAGATATCCGCAGTCTTACGACAATGGGTCTCATTCATTAATCAGTCATACACAAATTTGTGTGTGAAATCTGCATACAGTTTTTTTAAAGGACAAATCATTATTCAGCATTACATTTTGTGCTTAAATTCATTCTGAAATAATGAAAACATTGGGAACAGCTAAAACAACACACCAGCAAAAATCACTGGGTGAAAGATGAAATTTTATGAATAGATTTCATCATATAGAGTAAAAAGTAAGAAAAGTACATTATAGCTTGAGTTTCAAGGTTTTTCTATAGAAAAACAGCACATCTGTACTTATGTACTACTGGGTAATGAAAGGTTTGTAATCTGGGTCTGTATAAAAGGTGTCTATTGTATTTGAACTGGTTTTGAGGATGCAAACTTAGTCGTACGTTTGCTGCTGAGTGTGAAGAAAGGCTGTAATGGAAAGGTTGTGCAGAAAGCAGTTGATGGCTTGGCCATGTTTTATGCAAATAAGTATTCAAATTAGATAGAGGACAAGAAGAAATTCATGAAATGTATATGTACGTGTTATGCAAAAGCGTTTTGTGAGAAGTACTCCTATGGGTATAAATACAAAACAATCCATGCAATTACTAATGAATAAAACCCATTATTTCAGTGCAAAACCTAAGCAATAAACAGATGCGCATAAAAGAGAGACATCGGAAAAGGACAGTATGAACTTCTGAAATGTCTCAAAGCAATTAAGCTGTTTTGATATATAACATTTTCTTGGGCCACTTATATCTTTTCTTCAGTAACATTTCTTCCTACTGAAACCTTGTCTGCATTTCACCATGGAATTCATTCACAAATCAGCATGTCACTGCTGAGATGTGAGAATGGGACAGTTGACAAAGAATGCACGTTGTACATCTTAGTCCGTCCGCCCCGTTCCATTGGCGACAGACGGCATCAACAAGCGGGATACTGGGGGCTCTCACCCCCTCCTGCTCCACATGCCGTGCGAGCTGCGCTCCCACCCCGAAGCACGGCTGTGATAAGAAGGTGTCAGGACTGAAAAACATGTGTGTGAGGACCAAAGACAATTCCAAGCTGCACGGAGGGCGGGAGACAACTGATTCCTGGGAATGAGAAGCCAGTTGGCAGTTGTATATCTACTTTTTGACCCCAATCTACCCTAAAGCGAAGACACATCATTTACTCCTCATCGCTCTCCTCCTGTAGTCTTCCGTCATTCTTCTTCTCCTTTTGGACCCTTATCACCGTTAGGGCAGGAGGATGAATGGAAACTGTCTGGCAAGGTCATGCCACCCACAGATATCCTTCACAAGACTTTTCAACCTGATAATATCTTCCAGGATTATTCCCATGCCTGATGCATACTTTGCATTACTGACTTTGATATTAACTTTACTGTTGTTGAAGTACAAATTGTGTTCTGCTGCTTTGAATAATTATAAAGCTTATTTATTGATTAATTTATTTGTTTTTATTATTATTTAGGTGATTTTGTATAGTAATACTGTACATATGACTACATACACTATTCAGAGTATATGAGACTGTATGATGTTGTTGTGCAAAGAATATGGGTATACAAGTATATAAATTAATTTAAAAACAAATGATTAATTGTAGTAATTTATAATTTTCTCATGTAGTATGTGTTAAAATACTCAGTGATGTTGTATGCGCTTTAATCAACCGCTTTTCAAGCACTGACGTCTTGTTAGGATTTGTATATATCTTTAAATAGTTTGTTGATCCTCTTGTCCCTTGCACCCAGACACTCCATAACTCCTTAACAAGATATATTTAGCAATGATCAGTCCAGAGCTTGCTGTTTAGACATTGGGTGTGGGAGCGATTCATAAATTTAACTTCCCATTGAAGACCAGCAGCTTAAAGGCCCATAGTTTACAAGTGTCAAACAGATTCACATCCATGGGAAGCTGACTGGAAACTAACGACCACACAGGCTCATCTGCTCTGCAGCTTGAGACTGTGCAGATGTATTTGCTTCTTTTTTGGGGTTTGGGTGGAGGGCTTAGGAATTGTTTAGCTTTGTTCTCTATATATTTAAGATGTGAAGTTGGTAATTGTCAGTTGCCATTGTAAAACAATGTATTTTGCCATGTACAAACGCACAGTTCAAAATAAAATGATATTTTGAAGAAACTTTCTGTGATTAAACATCAAATTTTCATTTTTGGGTGAACTATCCCTTTAATGTCCAAGTGGAAACTTGGTGGTTATTGTCTCTCATTTATCTTGTCTCAAAAGCCATGGCAGGAAAGTTAAACCAATGACAGGAAAAAATGTAGACCCTCCAGTATGTGTATTGTGCTTGAATGATGACAGTTCAGGACCTCCTGACCAACGACACACAAGCCTTTGAGCTGTGTCCCATTAATGAGCTATTTACAAATTGCAGAAGTATTTGTGTCTGGATATTGTCATCTAATTCTGGGTATTCATTTATTTGTGTTGACAGAAGACGTTACAGTATTAGCATGTGCTGATGGTTACAGACATGCTATTGATATTAAAAACAGCAAATAAATAAATAATAAAAAATTAAATAAAAATGATACATTTATAAATATAAATCCATTAATACATTTTAATACATTTTATTGTTTCACAAGTTAAGTAATGTCATGATTCTTATTATATCTAGTCTGCACATTTATTTGTTATATAGAACACAAGATATTTTGAAGACCAAGCAAGTTTTGGTTACCATTTTATGGACGGAAAAAATAAATTGTTCCATAGAAGAAAGTTTTGGGATGGTTGAGGTGCAGGTTAAAGTAAATGATGACATAATGATCATTTTTGGGTGAATTATTTCTTTAATTGCTGCTAATATCATCATTGGTCAAATCAGCCAGAGTGGCAGCAAGCAAGTAACAAAGATTTAGAGCCACCTTGTGGTCACCAACCCACAATTTCAAAACAGTGAAATTATAAACACTCCTGTGAATTCTGTTGTAATTTACTCGCCCTCATTATTCCAAATCTGTGTGACTGTCAAGCTCCAAAAATACCATAACTGTATCATAAAACTAGTTAATACTACTTATGTGGATACACTATATGCACTATATTTTAAATAAATATGTCAGCAGCACTGATTTCAAGTGACACGTGACACAGTACACTACATCAGACCCCAGTTTGACCTCAGCATTTTGAGCTTCATCTGGGGCAATAAGTTGATACTCATTTGTGAGAAAAAAGATAGAAAGACTTACCTTACTTTAAAAAAAATAGATTGATTAGTTTACATTCACACAATTAATTGGCAGGATGTATTCTTAATGCTTGAAAAATATATTTGAAAATATGTTAAAACTCTATTTATGTGTTTGATTCTGTTTTAAACACACCTTGAAACATGATCTAGATGATTTCAACAGAGGAGATGATAATGTGTTTCTCACTTGTGCTGTTTTCTACTAAGACTTTATCAGGTAAAGTTTCAAACTGCCTCTGTAGCTGAATGAAATGTGACCATATCCACCTGCTGAATGTAATCAAAATTATACCTAAAAAATGAATGCTTAACGAATGTTATTGCCAAGTTTTATGAACATTGCTATGTTGCATATTCCTACAGATTACACAACAGAAATGTAATTTCATTCAAACTCTGAACCTAATAACATTATTAACTGGTGCAATTGACTTTTGCTGAGTATCTGAAGAGGTGGTAAATTTTCATTCGACGAACGTGACTCGATTCAGGTTCATTTGTCAATATTGAAAGAAAAAACTCACAAATGGCATGATTCTATAAGTCGTATCTTTCCTATTTATCAAATTTATATCTGCTGATTCAGGAGAAATGTGTAAAAAAATGCCAAGCTTAACTTGTAGTTGCTTTCTTTAAAGGAAATTGCTGTTTTTGGAGTTGGCAGTGCAATGGTACTTGACATGACATGTTGTAGCCTTTACAGGACGCTATACAGCCATTTTAGCGTGCTGTCAAACCAAACGTGTCAAGTTAAGGGTAAATATTAAAACAGACGATGCTACATAATGTATAAACAGAAAACTAATTTCATCTAAACAGATAAATAATCTCTGTATAAAGATATAAATATGTAACTCACACTTTTTTTGTCAGAACAGTACAGTTTAGAACCATGCAAGTTATTAACCGCTAGGAAAATGCGCACTTTTATTTTGAAATGTAAACTCTGTGAAGAAGTCTAGTGGAGTTTAACCAGAGTTCAACAACTGCGTCGGCAGAAGGGGAACCATAACAGCAAAAGTAGGTGGCGATATGCACACAGGATGTAACACGCCAAAAAACGGAAGAAGAAGAAGAACCAGAGTTCAACTGTGCTGTATTTTGCTATACATACTTTGTTTTCACGTAGTTGTAATATTAGTTGCTTATTATGGAGGCAGACGAATCCATTTCGTCAAACCTAAGTGTTGATTTGGGGAGTGAGGAGGGGAGCGCTGCCTTTAAAAAGGGGTTTTATGAGAAGAGAGAAGAAGTGGGTAATATTCATCATCCGTTTCAGAGAACGCCAGTTCAAAGTTGTGTGTCTGTGAAGAGTGAGAGGTCCATGGCTAAACCACCTAAATTCTGCGATAAAGCAGAACACTTTCAACCCAGGTTTGTCTTGCTGAGTATACACTCGTATAAGAGAATAAGTGATCATATGTGCAGATGATATCATGTATCCACTGTATCCAAATTTTCATAACAACATTTTAAAATGTATGTAAATCTGGAACAAGATAAAGTGTGTAATGATGTGTGTTATAATGATTGTCAACTTTTAGGTATACTCAAAGGTATCTTCCATTATATGCGGGGTATCATAGGGGTCTGTTGTCTTAAAAATGACCCTTGTCTAAAATGATTATAGACAAAAAATAGTCTAAAATGATAACGGTAAAATGATTTTATAGACAAAAATGTCTACAAATTTTTAGACAATCAGTTTTACTTACTAATTTTTGTCAGGAACACAATTATCATTAAAAAGCTTGTTTTGTTGTTTTTGTTTGCTTGCTGTCCATGCCTGATGAACATACACACTCTTTTGTGACACTCTTACTCTTGATTCTTCATGCGTTCCAATGTTGTTTTCAATATATGTGGATTATACAAATTATATTAGGGGTCTTTAATATCAAATGCTACTTGTTAGCTTTAAAACTATAAAATGGCTGCTCAGCTGTCCTGCAGTGTGTTATGCTAAAATACATGTAAAACTACTTTAAAATGCATTTTGTAATGTATCTGAAACCTCAAGTGTATGTCTATGTATTTAAATTAATTTCGGTATTTACAGTCTTCCAGAGAAAGTGGAAGACTGTGCTGTTCACCACCAGTTCCAGAGACCAGCATCTCCACTAACAAGTTATGTGTCTTTGAAGAGTGACAGATCCATGGCTGAACCTCCTAAATTCAGTGATAAAACAGGGCACCTGCATCCCAGGTGAGTTCATACATACCTGATAAATATACACACATTTATTATTCTTGATTCTTCATAGTTTCCATTATTGTTTTCATGTTTTTCATTCTTCATAGTTTCCATTATTGTTTTGCATCAATTCATGTAAATGATGCAAAATACGTTAGGGGTCTTTAATGTCAAATTTGAATAATTTTAAATATATAATATGGCTGCTTAGTTGAAACTGTCCCGCAGTGTGACATGCTAAACTGTCTAAAACAACTTTAAACAGCATTTGGTAATGTATATGAATCTGAAATCTCAGGTCGACACCTATGTATTTTAATTCATTTTGGTATTTTCAGTCTTTCAGAAAAAGCTGAGTACAGTGCTGTTTACCACCAGTCCCAGAGACCAGCATCGACACAATCAAGCTATGCATCTTTGAAGAGTGACAGATCCATGGCTGAACCTCCTAAATTCAGTGATAAAGCAGAACACTTTAAACACAGGTGTGCTTGCACATTCATTTACATGCTCATGTAATTCTCTTATGAAATGAATCATGTGACAAAATTTAAACAATAGCAAATATGGTTAGTTAGGTTAGATGCCATGTTGAATTTAATGTGGATGAAAACGGCAAGGGATAGAATTACAGTCTTTACATTGGCACACTGTATAAAGGTAAAGGTCCTAGATAACATCATTTTTGCCAACTCAACTTTCAGACCTGTTTATTTATCTTTTGTCTACTGATTTTTTATTTATTTTTTTCGGAAAGATGTTTGGTCAACTGAACAGTCTGTTAAACAACTGTACAATCGTTGAACTGTACTTCTATCCCTCACAGGCTTGTTTACATTCCTGTTAAAAATCCTGTGCAATTCATTTTTTAATCACTTTACATTTAATAGCTGAGTTATACTGAAGTCAAAGATGTCTCTGAGTGTTCAGTAATCTCTTAAAGTCTTAGAGTCCTGAGCAGAACTCAGCACTGAAACAAAGGCTGCATTAGAAATCACATAATCTCTTGAGTAAGTAATTACTTTGCGACTGCAAAAAGAGTATGTTTTATATAGTATGAATGTGAGTAGTATAAATGTAATCTGGACATACTACATTCGGCATGTTGTCATTATCAGGTGACTAGCAGTGTCAGTTGCGTAGCATCACTGCCATTCATAAATCCTATCCCGTGGTCTCATGGGATAGTAAAGTGTTCATCATATGCACACTTCAGAATCATGCCGGAAGTTGTTGGTCATCTGGGTACTTTTTGCCTACTCTTTTATGAGCACTGTGAATTCGGACATACTTCTTTTGCCACATACTGTTTTTTGTCTACTATATAGTAGGGAAGTATGCAATTTCAGATGCAGGCAAAAAGTCCAGCGTTTTTAGCAGTGAGTGGATTCTGACTAACTTAAACACCTCTGATTGGCCATTGCATTCAAGAAATCAACAGATATGTCTGTGATTGGCTACATTACTCACTGCTGGATTGGTTACATGTTTGTGATGATAGGAAATGGGGGCGGGTTTTTTGAGACTTTACTTTGAGTCTTTGGTACTCCCCAATGCCCAACAATGGTGTAAACTGATGAATTTGCTGATGGGTTGTCTTTAAGCATATCAAAACACCAGATTAACTTGTAAACAACATTAAAAACTTGATTTTCACCACAGAGGGTCTTTAATATTTTAATTGATTACAAATCTTGTTTGTTTCTGCAGTGGAAGAAAGAAACAGGTGGTTCAAGATCAGTCTGCGTGCCTGTCTGGAGATTCTGACTGTTTTCAGTGCAGACAAATATCTGAAATTTGTCCCCTTATACACCCACACACGAGAGGGTCCAGTCCTGCTGAAGAGCAGCTGAGCTCTTGCCAACCAGTAGATGCCATCCTACAGAGTATCAAAGAAAGCCACAAAACCAGCATGAAGAAGTATGAGAGTTTATGTGAAGGAATCAATACACAAGAGAACAAAAACCATCTTAACAAGATTTACACACAGCTTTATATAATAGAGGGAGAGAGGGAAGGGGTAAATGAAGAACATGAGGTTGTACAAATAGAGAAAACCAAGACTGAATGCTTACAAGGTACTCCAATCAACTGCAACAACATTTTCCAGCCTATATCCGATCCAAGTTATGAGAGAAAAGACAACCAAGAAAAAGTAAAGACTGTTCTTACCAAAGGAATTGCTGGAATTGGAAAAACAGTCTCTGTGCATAAGTTCATTCTGGATTGGGCTGAGGGCAAAGCTAATCAGGATGTTGATTTTCTCTTTGTTCTTCCATTTCGGGAACTCAACTTGGTTAAAGATGACCAGTACAGCCTTCACAGACTTCTGCTTGACTTCCATCCAGAACTTCTGGAGTTAGATACAAGGGTATATGATTTGTGTAAAGTCTTGTTCATCTTTGACGGTCTGGATGAAAGTAGAATTACATTGACATTTTCACACTGTGACAAAATTTCTGATGTGTCTACAACATCATCAGTGAGCATGTTGATGTCAAATCTCATCAAAGGAGAGTTGTTGTCCTCTGCTCTCATCTGGATCACATCCAGACCGGCAGCAGCCGGTCAGATCCCCTCACATTACATCAGCCGGGTAACAGAAGTACAGGGATTCACTGACCCTCAGAAGGAGGAATATTTTAGGAAGAAGATCAGCGATCAGCATCAAGCCACCAGAATCATCTCTCACATAAGAACAGCAAGAAGCCTCCACATAATGTGTCATATACCGGTTTTCTGCTGGATCACAGACACTGTGCTTCAGAACATCCTAAAACATGATAGCAGTGCAGAAATTCCCAAAACGCTAACTGAAATGTACATACATTTTCTGATTATTCAGGCCGTTATGAAGAGGCAGAAGTATGGTGAGAGAGATGAGAGATATGATCCAAAGTTGCTTCTGCTTTCAGAAAGAGATGTGATTTTGAAACTTGCTGAACTGGCTTTCAAAGCTCTGATGAATGGCGATGTCCTGTTCTATGATGAGGACCTGAAAAAATGTGGAATAGATGTCAACAAGGCCTCTGAGTATTCTGGGATTTGCACCGAGATCTTCAAGGAGGAATCAGTGATCTATTCGAGGAAGGTCTACTGCTTTGTTCATCTGAGCTTTCAAGAGTTTTTTGCAGCGCTTTTTGTGTTTTTCAACTATTTAAACAAGAACAGTGATATCCTGAGAATGTTCCAGATAAAGAAAGGAAGAAAAAAGATCAAACAGCAGTTTAATGAGGTTTCACTAGATGCGTTTCTGAAGGTTGTGGTTGATGAAGCACTGAAGAGTGACAATGGACATCTTGATCTTTTCCTTAGATTTCTTCATGGCATCTCACTGGAGTCAAATCAGAGACTTCTCCAAGGTCTGCTCACACATGTGGAGGACAACTCTGAAAGCATGAAGAAAGTGATAAAAAACCTCAGACAAAGTCAAAAGCAGAATGTCAGGCCAGAAAGGTGGATTAATCTCTCACACTGCTTGATTGAAATGAAGGATACTTCTATTCTTGAAGACATTCAGGCTTACCTGAAAGCTGAAGGAAAGTTTAAAAAATATCTATCTCCTGCCCACTGTTCAGCTTTAGCTAATATGCTTCTGATAGCAGAGGATGTGCTAGAAGAGCTAAACCTCAAGAAATATAATACAACATCCACGGAGGCTCAAAGGAGACTGGTACCAGCTATGAGGAACTGTCGAAAAGCAATGTGAGAACCAGTAAACCAACCAATAAACCAACAGTGATCTGAAGAACTTAAAGGGGTCATATGATGTTGCTAAAAAGAACATTATTTTGTGTATTTGATGTAATGAAATGTGTTTATGCGGTTTAAGGTTAAAAAAACACATAATTTTCCACATATTGTACATTATTGTTTCTCCTCTATGCCCCGACTTTTTGAAACGCGTCGATTTTTACAAAGCTCATCGGTCTGAAAAGCGAGGTGTGCTGTGATTGGCCAGCTATCCAGTGCGTTGTGATTGGCCGAATACCTCAAGCATGTGATGGAAATGTTACGCCCCTTACCATACATGATGGCATGTCCCGGCCGGAGCGACGAGACAAAAACATGAAAACCCATTATAAACAAGGCATTCGTTGCATCCAGTGGGGACATAATTACGGATTATAATGACGCATCGCGCCGCGTAAACATAAAACCACGTCTGCATTTGTGATCGGAGAAATGACAAACAACAAGCGCTACTCTACACTGCTCAAAACTCGCATTTGAAATCGTGATGTAGGTATGTGGGGGCGTGTTAGAACGAGCCGTTTTAGGTAGGCGTGGTTGACTCTTAACTTTTATAAAGAATATCTCTTTGGATTTGAGACTTTAGTCTTTGCAACTTTACAGATCTTCTTTATGCACCAAGAGCTTGTAACACTCCAAAGAGAAAGGAAAAATTTAAATCGCATCATATGACCCCTTTAAAACAAAAAGGCTTATGATCATGAATTTTTGATTTCCAAATAACTATATAGCCACATGTTGTTACATGTAAGTAATACTTCTTGCATTATCTTCTTTCATTTCAGATTGGAAGGCTGTAATCTCACTGAACAATCATGTGAAATTGTGGCATCGGCTCTACAGCATGCAAACTCCCCTGTTAGAGAGCTGGACATGAGTAACAATGACCTGCAGGACTCGGGTGTTAAGCTCATTTCTATTGGACTTAAGAGTTCACACTGTAAACTGGAGATACTGAGGTTAGTTGCAGGTTGTTATCGCTCAGATATTCAATGCTATCGTTTGTAAAGATTGTTAATGCAAAATGTGCTCGTAGAGATCATGTTGGGAATGAAACATAGTCTATTGATTGTCCAACGTAAATATTTAAGGTTTCATGCATGAGTAATGACATATCAAGTGCTTTTCCCCACCAAATCATTTGTTTTCACCTTGTGCATTGAAAAATGTTATGTGATGACGTTTCAGTAAAATGAAGCTGTGAGATGTAAAATATCTTATGAATAATTCAAAATGCTTCATTATAATAGTAATTACAGTAATATATTTGTAATATTTTTTCTGTGTAGATTAAAAGGCTGTAAACTCACCATGCAGTCCTGTGAAACTTTGGCTTCAGCTCTGCTATCAGAAAATTCATGCCTGAGAGAGCTGGACCTCAGTAACAATGACCTGCAGGATTCAGGACTGAAGCGGCTCGTTGCTGGCCTGAAAAGCCCACACTGTAAACTGGAGATATTGAGGTGAACTTCATATATTTTTATACATTAGATATTGGAAAAGAATAGCATTATCTATAAACATAGCAAAGAAAATAGTGTACAACACGGTGGCAGGATTCATTCATCCAGAAAGAAAGTGAATACTAAATAATAGTACCCAAACAGCAGTTAGTAGTAATGAATAGAAGATACAAATGATCATTGTCAAGTCAAGTCAAGTCACCTTTATTTATATAGCACTTTTAACAATACAGATTGTGTCAAAGCAATTGTACAGCATTAAATAGGAAAATAGTGTGTCAATAGTCAAGTCAAGTCAAGTCACCTTTATTTATATAGCGCTTTTAACAATACAGATTGTGTCAAAGCAACTGTACAGCATTAATTAGGAAAATAGTGTGTCAATAATGCAAAGTGACAATAGTAAACACTCATTTTTCAGTTAAAAGCAGTTCATCATTGAATTCAGTGATGTCATCATCCAGCTCAGTTCAGTTTAAATAGTATCTTAATGGTAAAGACATTTATAATGATACAAAAGGTTTCTATTTCAAATAAATGCTGTTCTTTTGA